GATGAGGCCGCCGATGACCTGAAGTCAGGCTTCCTCATCGTATGTTAAGGTACAGGGAACCAAAACTCACTCAGTCCTCATGTAATCTAATCTAAGAACTTTTGTTAAATTTTCAAAACTAATTGAAATGATTCTTTTGAACTTATCCCGTCTAAGTATCCCGTGGACTGAGTCAGTTTCAGAAACTAACCTAAGATTGTTACTGTCCTGAGTAAATTTGATATGGATTAGTATAAGGCTCTCATAGAAATGCATTACTTGTGTAAAATTGACAAAAATGATGGTAAATTAGTATAAACTATTTTATGGTTCCCTAGAGGGAATGTTCATTGCACAATCTTTCCATGAATGTTATTAAATAAGTACCAAAGAGTGTGCCATTTTTGTGGTAGTTTAAACTTGAGTCAAAGACAAAAATATGTAATATATTAAAGAAATGTTACCATTTATAGGCTTTATATAAAGCTTTTTTTGGCAATTATTTCTGCGCTTTAAGGCATTCTGCTACTTCCAACATATGAGTATTGTGTAAAAGTCATAGGCCGCTGATGAAAATGACATTTAAAGCTATTTATCTGGGCAGTATGTGCATGCTTGCACTAAAAAAAAAGAAAAAACATTATTCAAAATTAGAATAATAAATGGAAAAAAGTAAAGGGTTTTTTCTCTTCTCCGAAAAGTCACTGATATCCTGTTGTATGGGGAGTAAAACATCACTTTGGTTCCCAAAGCTCTACTCAAGGGAACTTCACTCATTTCATAAATCTATTAAAACTCTCCACCAGCTCATTTAATCAACTTAGTTAACGACCTCAATAAGTTATTGATTAGCCGGACAAGGTGTGCTAGTAGCTTAATTAAAAAACTACATGGGTGTGGTGGACGGTTATTGCAAATACTGGGATGATGTTAGGAGAGGTTTTGACTGGCTGTGCTGACACACTTAGACAGACATATTATTATAGTTTTACAACAACATGAAATAAATGTAAACATAATTTTCTTTAATAGCCCAAGACTTTTGCTCAGTACTGTAAAATCTACCTAACATTTCACCATTAATGTATTTTTCTGTCCCTTTTCTCAAAGTAAAGGCATATTTAAAGTTAGTATGAAAATACTTAAAGAGGAAGTGTTATTTATTGTATTAAATTTTGTATTTAATATAAATTTTGCTCTGACTGTATTAAGTAGGATATTCCTGCGTTAGTTCTGCCCATCATAAAGCCTGGTGTAGGGATTCTTCTAGACTGTAGTAGATGGAGTTAACAGGAATGTTTGCAGTATACAATCTTTTAATCCATCTATCTATGATAAACATTTAAACACCCCCCTCCCCCCTGCAGTTTTCTGCTGTAACTTGCCTATAACAGTAATACAATTATTAGATCCCTGAATTATTGTCTTGATGCATTTTTGTATCTGTGTATATAAATGTGCTTCAAATTGGTGATAAACCAGTTGGTTATTGGTGATAACCAATATAGAGTGAGAGGTAAGGAGCATTACAGTGTGTTTCCATCACACGACAAACCACTTCAAGGATGAGAACCTGAGGGCAGCCACACAGCATGTGATACTTCAGCACCACAGTAATCCGAATGGACCAGTGTGAGTTTTTTCCCAGTGGCTGGAGTATCAATCCTGCCACCAATGCCCAAGTTGTTCCCTGTAAGTTGGAGGACCTCCTTATAGGGCTGGATGTAGATTAACATCATTCCCAGGATGAAGCATTTACTAGTTAAGGGCTTTACTCAAGGGCGCAACAGAGTAGAATCACGCCAGACATTCACAGGATTTGAACCAGCAACAGCAACAGATCCATAGCCTCAGAGCCACCACTCTGCCCAATATAGAAACACTGAAATGGTGTCTTAGGAGAGTCATTAGTTTAATCTAAGTCTTAAGTTATCTAAGGTTCAGTGACAACGATGAAGCTAGAGCAAATAATGGGATGTGACGCTTGGGCCAAGAAGTGAGGAAGACATCATGGAGAAAAACATCTTTGCCATTAAAGCTCAAGGGGCAGCCCATAACACTGAGGTTGGCCGACATGCTAAAGCTGACTGATCGCTCTCTGCCCAGAACCACAAAGGCATTCAACTGATGACTGATCCTAGCAGCCCAGTGGGGAAAGCAGAAGAGTAATACATACATGCATCAAGTATCAGTTTTCAGCATGAGACAAATTAGATTTCCTATCTAAGATTACATTATCCTTCTGTGCAATCTGAATATACTGTATACATTTGGATATATCAGATTTTGGCACAAGAAAATATGAACAGGAAATGGAGACATCACGTGGTTTTGATGACTAAGCTACTATAATTACTTACCAACCTACTAGAATCTCCAAAATCCATAAAACAAAAGGATTATTTAAAAAGGATCACATCGTCATTCTCATGTAAATCCATAAACAACATGTTATTTTTTATCACTTTTAAACACATACAGAAATACACACATACATATACACCAGCGGGATCCCAAGGTGTTTCAGTGTGTGGTGAGCGTGACAATGTGCCGTATCAGTGCAGCCCTTCCCGGCTCCTGGAGATCTACCTCCCCGCAGAGCTGAGGTGAAGCCCTAACTGAACACACCTGATACAGACAATCCGGCCCTGCAGTAGCATCTCAGTATAAGAGCCAGCTACGTTGACGCTAAGGTGTGTTAAATTAGGGCTGTACCTAAGCTCTGTGAGGTGGTAGGTTTCCAGGAGCAGAGTTGGGTAGCCTGGCATACAGTACTGTGTAAAAGGCTATTTATCTGGGTAGTAAGTGTGTATCTGCTCAGGGGGAAAAAACAAACAAAGAAGAATATATGTAAATTATTAGTAACACATTATAAAAGTAACAAACATTTCTTCTGTTCTCCAGTAGTTTTTTTGTTGACCTAGACCCCTAGAGGTTTTTTTTCTCCCTACTTGGAAGTTTTTGGTTCCTCTCCTCCATTGTCATCCAGTTATCCTTCTTTCATTTCTCTGTCTTCCCTTTTCCCTGTTTTTGTATTATTCCATCTTAATGATGCTGTAATGTATCACAGCACAGCCATGTAAAGCAACTTGGGGCAGCACTGTTGTGAAAGGTGCAATATAAAAATAGACTGAACTGTTGGATGGCTAGATGAATACCACTTCAGTTCCCAGACCTCTGCTCTGATCTCCATGGCACTTTGTATATTAAACAAACGTATAGTCTTTTCTTGCATATAACTATAACTAGTGCATCCAAGAGTAGTTTCACTATTAAGTCGTAAAGTTCAACATGCTACCTTAGAATCCTTATTACACTTTCATAATGTTCTTTCCTATCTTAAAAACGCTGATGAGTGCAAACTGAGGGTGTTGATGGTATGTAGAACACCCCTCACTTATACATTAAAGCTTATATATGCATGTATATATATGCACTGTTTACAAAATACTTTTGAAACATTTGTGTAGCTCTAATCGATTAACAAAGGATTTTATATTTATTTTTAAAACATCATATACATGACATCTGAAAATACCAATGAATGACAAAGTACTTTGACAGTCTCTTGAGGATGTCTACACCATGGTTTTACCTTTCGGTCTACAAATTACTGTCTTCCGTTCACAAAATCCAGAGGGTTTCCAAAATGTTGAATTACCAGAACTTGTTTAATTATACTTCTGACATTATCGTTGCTAATTAAAACATATATCCAAACAAAAAACTATAAAATTAGACATCTAACAATCTTCCCCCCAAAACCCTTTCAGGTGTATACAAACTGACAATACATGAGGTTGGTCAACTGACAGGTTCAAACTAGTGGTGACAGTGAAAATAACTTCCAATGTGGGCCGGGTCACAAACAAACCCCTCAAATCCAGCTGGACAAATTCAGACTCTTAGTGCAGTCCATGCCATGTTAGGTCAATGTGAATCTATGTGATTTTGTAAACTCTTGGCAGCCAACTTTAGCAATAACATGAATGCGGTGTGTAGCATTCACAAGCGAGATCACTAAGCAGCCCATTTCAGTTATGCTGGGATTGAAAATACTGGTATAAAAGTGATGTTTTCAGACAGGTCCAAGTCAGACTTTAGATTAGGATTAACTTAATCCTTTACGTGAAACACTAGGGAAGGACAAACACTAGTACCAAATGATCCAAGAGTTCTCAGTGGGTTTATTCATCTACACGCAGATCAGAAAAACTGTAATGCAGTCTGGCTTTCAGGAGTTGAAATATTGCTCAGTATACCATGGTACAGGTGTAATTACATTCTCCCTGCCGCGTTAATTCACACTGTGAGTTAAAGTTATCTGCATAGAGTCCAAGTTACACCCTCCACTTTACGTCAGGCTACACGCATTAGTCAGAAGCTGGAGCAGGGGGTTCTGAAGCAACTTAGATGAGTCGAGATCATTACGGAACCTGAACTTACTGTGACGTGAAACCTATTTCCCATTAGTTTTATACATACATGGGCGAATTACCCCCTATTCGGGGGGGGAGGGGGCTCCTATTCCATATAAAGGCATTCAAACTGATAACTTGTAGATGGCAGTTATAACATACTCAATACACTGCACACAGAGATAGCGATAAAACGTAAAATGATCTGCATGTTGATCAGAAACATAAATTCAGGAATGGAAGTGAAACTCGGACTCTGGTACCTCCGAGTTAGGAATGACGAGTCACATATTCTTGGTTAAGCTATTGCAATCTATAGTCCACAACTCCAATTCTAGCAACTAAGTAAAGTCTGTCCGTGCAAACTAAATGAAAACCGCACTTTATGCATGGATCCATATTTATGGAGAAAATCTCCTTCGCAGAAGAGTGAACATTCTGATGAGCTGCTCCATAGGAAAGAAGTGAAGTCCGGGAAATGTTTCTGAGAGCAGTTTAAAAAAAATCTCCACCTACTGAAGTTCAAAAGAACTCCACGGCTCAAGCAGCATTTTCTTTCAGGAAGGGAAACTGGTGTACCGCTGCAGAATCCTTACACATGGCTAAAGTAGTTGGCCAGAAGTGCATAGAATGACTATGGGTAAGGACCTAAAACAGGGGGAAATTGTGCCAACAAGTAAACAAACGTATTAAAGCTTTTTTGGGATTTTAAAGTGAATTTACTGTTGTTTTTTTCTTCTTCTGCCGTTAAAAAGGATCATGCATGTAAACTTTTAAATACATCCAATAAAATATTTTAAAAGTATTTTCTCTGTTTAAAAATGCTTTAACAAAATATGCTTTGTCTCAAAATACTTAGAGCTATGGGGTTAAAGGGAAAATAAAACATCTTTAAAAACAACGACTTGCCATTTAACCACCTGAGTTTTAAAAACCAGTAGAAATGCTTATTTCCCCGGCTGAAGGGAGGAGTTTTCTAGCGGTAGCTTAGCGGAGCTTTTCAGCCAAGCTCGACGCTGCTGGATTACAGGAAGGAGTTCAGTAATATGGCCGACCCGGGTGCTGCTGTGCTCTGTGCCCATGAACCATGCGAGTCCTGTCTTTCTCCCAATCACAACACATCTGGAGTCTGGCAGCTTGACCGCGTGCCGCTCACAAAGTTATAGACGAGGAACTGTGAGGTCCCGCAGTAGTGCGTAGCAAAGAGCTTCCCATCCGGAGTGGGATCTGAAAAGGCGATCTCTTCTTTACTCAGGTGCGAACCATAGATGAAGTTGTTCCTGTGAAGAGGTGGCAGACAGTGCAGGTGTTATGCTGAATTGTACTCTCACAGGCAGAAACCTTAAAACAACAAGCAATATCTTTAATAGCAAATTCAGCCATGACATAATTGCATATAACTGACATTCTACCATTATAATTGGGGCTGTTCAGTTTTCTCTAAGGGAGGTCTAGAACTGTGGCAGAATCAAACATTTTGCAGTGTAATCAAACCCCCACTGCCTCTCAATTTCATCAAATTTAGTCATTTCAGGTTTGTTATAACATCTGACAAGGAGGCAGAGGCAGTTCTAGGATTTTTCTGAAGATGGGGAGCTTAAGAAGGACCATAATCCATACTGAGGGGCCAGTCTTGCCATTATCCAATGATTTGATTTAAATTGGTAAATTACAAGGGGAGGGGGAACTCCAGGGGCCAATCAGCTTTCACCTGCATATACGAGGTGACAAGCCCTCCAGTCGCCTTCTGCAAAGCAGTAGTGAGGCTCACCTGAGACACTCGATCATGCGCGAGGCGATGCCCTTCCTCCTCATCATGCTGAAGACCCAGATGCGGCTGATGCCGCAGAGAGCGGGCTCAGGGGTCGTGGAGCAGCACCAGGCCCTCTGACGCTCGAACATCACCTTCTCACCTTCGGAGCACTCCGGCGTCGCCTCTTCAATCACCCTGAAGCCCTGTGCAGAGAGAAGACAACAGAATAAAACACGTTCATCTAAGCCTACAAATAGAACCCGGATATAGATACAGAATCACAAACAGGGAAAAATGAGCAGTCCCAGGGGAACATGGATATCCAGCTTCTACACTGCAAAACTCAGGGGACTAAACTGACTGCTAATGAATTAAAGAATGATCCGGAACATCAAATCTGCTTGTGACAAGCCCAAAAACAGGTTGTCAGATGAAGGATTACATACAATCTCTCACTGCACAACAACACTACACAGTATCACCAGAGGGGTGTTCCACAAAGCAGGATTTCTCAGTTAACTGGCTTAACTTAAGCCAGAAATCATAACTGTCCAATTAGAGTTTAGGTAAGGAGAATTCCTACTGGACAGCAGCTCTAATTTTATCTTAAAGCTGGACAGTTTTTTAAACAATGCCATACATGTAGTAAGCATACTGTTGATGGTGAAATTTCCCAGTGGTATTAACAAAAAAGGCCACTCACACAGTATCGTAAACCACTGTTTCTCAACTCGGTCCTTGGAGGCCCCAGACGGTCCACGTTTCTGCCAACTTCCCAGGCAGACAGTGCACATTTTTGCACATTTTGGGATGGAGCAAAAACACGAACTGTCTGGGTCCCCAAAGACCGGGCTGAGAAACACTTGATGTAAACATACCAGGAGGTTGTGATGATCTGTGCATGTTAGGAATTGGGGGAGCTGTAGTGCGTGTCAGTTATTTTGTATTTTAAGAACTAAGCAAGTTAAAGGGAAAACCCTACCAAATCTGTCAAAAAAAAAAAATACAGAACAGTTAACAATGGCCTTTCCTAGTCAATTTCACCCACTCTGGGGCCTTAACACAGATAATATCTGCAATAAGAAAGAACTACAGTCAAATATGTTGCTAGCCTCCCCCCCCCCATAAAGATACATATAAACTGTTGTCTCATATATTGTATTTTTCAGATCTTGGCAAGTCTTTCCAAAACATATAAAAACGAGCACACTAAATTTACCAAAATGAGAAATCATTAATAATTTGCAACGAACTGAAAATGAACAGTAAAAATTCCATATAATCTAACAGCAGCCAGTAAACTAATCTTGTGGGTGTGTGACTTCCTGCTGTCAGGACATAAACAAGCTACTACAGCCCCCTTATGTTCCTGCCTGCCAGACAGAAATAAATCTGCATGGATCTTCCTGCATAGCATCTCTATGGATATGTTCCGACAAAATATACTGAATAAAGGTGCTTCAAATTGACCCTGAATTTTAGTAGAGCAGCCAATAGAGTCACAAGTAGTCATAAGAACTGGAAATGACTGACAGATCTACTGTCCAATGGATCATTCAACTCCAACGACCATCACAGCTTGTTTTGAATACTGGATTTCAGGCCCTTGATACGCTGTCCACTTGAAGGTCCACTGTTGAAGCCTAGCACTGTCTACTCAAAGCACCCCACTGTATTTAGATACAAAGTTAATGGAAATGCACTGCAACTAACAGCACAGTCCAAGGAGACCAGGGAAAAGTGCATTAAATAAAAGTTGGAGGAAATTAGATGTCATTTTGAGGGCACACTACAGAAAAAGCAAGCAGCAAATCATAATGCACCTGCCTATACAGCTGCGATTAAAAACAGGCTATAGTATGTTAAGAAGGCCTGTACTGCGATGCGGGCTAACTGGCTTATCGGGGTAACTTGTCGGATTTAAGGTACCACAATTTAAATGGACTTCATATTCGTTCACTTACATTTTGTCCAGACTACCTTAAATTCGACAAGTTACCCCGAAAAGCCAGTAACCACGCTTCGTAGTACAGGCCACTGGTGTTCAAAATGTTGTGTAGTACTAATCAACACATTTATCAGCGAAGATGATTCTGTTGGTAAGAAGTATAAACACAAGTGTGACTCATAATTCATCTAGAAAACAATTTCTTATACATGATGCCAAGCATCACAAACATTCGAAGCTTTCAGGCTACAACCAGGAACTGCATGGTAATACAGTACATTTACTGCTGATTATGCACGATTACCCATAAGGCCCCAGGTTTCAGCATGGCCATTACCTCCTGGATGTGTTCCGCAATGAGGCACCCAACCACCTTCTTGTCATTGGAAATAAAAAGGAAGGTCTTGGTTTGAGATGGACTCTTGGTTTCCACCTGTTGGAAGCCCAAGTCATTGTCCACCATCTCACGAATCTCCTCCACCTGAGGGAAAGCAAGAGGGAGAAAAATCTTTCAATAACAAAGCTACATCTCCCAGCGATGGTTGCTGCCCACTCCTGGGATATTCCCTGCCTTACGGCCACAGACCCCAGGACATGCCCAGAACCCCCTGACCCTGCATTAGACAAATGGGTATGGAAAATGGATGGATAGATGGAGGTGCATCTCCATCAATGTAGGCTAAGTTAATTCAGTAGAAAGTTCAATAGAAGACTAAAAGAGAAGACTGTGTGTTTGCGTGCACTGAATATACCTTTCTCAAGGCATATTTAGGATCATCCGGAAGAACCAGGATGATCTTGCCATCTGGATATTCTCCCAGAATCCTCTCTTTCTTCCATCCCTAGATGAAACATGAAAGGGGGTTAAAAATTAATTTTAGAATATAAAATTCTGTATCTAGGGGAACCTCTAGGAATCCAAGACCACATAAGACCATTACACCACATAACTCACAGGCTTTCCATATTTGGCCAAAAATAAAAACTGGGTCAACCGCTTCAATTACTGCACAATTTCACAAAATAGAAAACTGTCATTTGAAATAGAACATATACCACTTATGCATATAGTTACATAGATATTATGTAGACCTTAAAAACATGGGTCTAATTGGTTCGAATGCTATGCCTGCAACTGAATGGTTGCTGGTTCAAATCCTGCCTGAGAGATTTCACCATTGGGCCCTTTAGCAAGGCTCTTAACCCCCAATATCTCCAGGGACTGTCTGCGCCAGCTTCCTTAAAAAAAGAAATATGTTGCTTTGGAAAAAGCACCAGCTAAATAAAAAATAATGTACATAGAGGCCTACTTTAGAATAGTCAGTTTTATTTAGGTACAAGTGAGACTGGAAGGCTGCAGGATTAATCTGTAAGCTAACAAATGTTATACCCTAAACCACGCAGGAAACTAGGGTGAGAGAAAGATCTTTGAGCGCAAGCTATCGCAGGCTGATCTGTGGACCGGACGGCAGAGTATGATGCACGTGCCAGACACGAGCCCTCGTGATGCTCACCACGTATCGGACAGCGCTGATGAACTGGTTGTGGAAGAGAAGGTGCTGGGACTCGTCTTCAGGGTTGGACGCAGAGTACAGCATGCCGCACACACTGCATGTCACTGCGCCAAAGTGCTTCTGTCCCGCATCCTGGTGGAAAACAAAGATTCAACTCAAACCATTGGACACGTCACATGACATGACCACTAATCAGACAGAAAAACAGGACTGATAACAGCTCCATTGCCTTCCAATTTTTTCCCCCCAGGAACATTATAAAGCGCAACCAAACGGTGAACTCACTATGATAGCCTGCTTTCCACTTTTATCTGCCTCCTTCAGACGTTTGATGTCTTTGTGCAGAAGGGATTCTGCCGCACGGGTACTGACACTAGACAGTGGTGAACCTGGTGATGATGCACTGCTGCAATGTGACACACGCACCCTGTTAAAGTGGCCCTCAATGATATGAACATCACTTTGCACATTTTTAGGTTTAAACACGAAGCTGCATTAATACTTACTCATTCCTCTGCAGTGCCTTGATACCGGGGTCTCCTGTAGCTGAGACTAAAAAGGAGGAGGAAAAAACCATGTAGACATCATGTGTACACCATGATGAGAGCACACAAATCTGCTCTATCTTGGAGAAGAAATTCAGTAAGGTTAAGGTTACACATTGAAATGGAAAATTAAAAGCCAAACATACCGACAGTCATCTGGTTATACTTTTGCTTATCCAGTGCAGTTAACGGCGGCCCTCTGGCTGGTAGTGCAGAAACGACTCCTTTGCTTGCCTATAAAGTAAATAAATAAATAAAAAAACATGATGTGTTATCGTCGAGCCAGAACATAGCACAGACAAGTTATTCCTGCTATCTGGGAGAATTCGCAGGCTGCTGGTCAGCTCTTACCACATTTCTCGAGTCGCTTTTGGGGGCAGGCTCTGGAACTGTCTTGTGAGTACAGACTTTCCCAGGAAGTTGTTCTGGTTCATCATCCATGCCATCCAGTTCAAAGTCATCGGGTGAGTACTTGGGCCGTGGTGTGTAGGGTTTATATTCTGCCGTGGGTTTGGATTTTTGAACACTAACACCATTAGGCATGGGGGGTGCTACAGCAGGCAGCAGACTCTTGTTCTCAATTCCTGAGAGCTTGGGAGTAGCTTCCTTAACGGTGGCGGCTGTTGATGGAGAAGCTGGACACACGCTGTTAAGTGCAGGGCAAACTTTATCTACCTCCCGTGTGTCCGACGAGAGCTTTTTAATGGCCTCTTCTGTTTTAAGCTGTTTCATTCTGGTCCACGACAACTTCTCTCGCTGCAGCTCTGTCTGCCGTAGCTTCTGGAAGCGAGACAGTTTCTTCTTTTCATTTACTTTTAAAGGCACGGTAATTTGGCTGAGGAAGAAGCGTCTCTTTGGCTTCTCAGAATGTGTGGACTCCCCTGGAGTATCGGCAACAGCGACCGGAGAACCCGTCTCCTCAGAAACAACGGAAGTCAGGATGCCGCTAAGCTCCTTCACAGGACTGGGTGGTTTTTCATGTCCGTCTATCTCTTCCAAGGTTGGACCGCTTTGTTCTTCCTCTCTTTTCACCTCTGTTGTGTCTGAAGCGATATCATCTGCAATTTCTTCACAGAGGGCTAGAAGATTCAGCTGTTTCGCAGCTGCCTTCCTGGCAGCAGCTGCTTTCTGCTCAGCTAGTGCAGCAAGACGAGCTTTTGTCCTGGCTTGGGGGTTCATCTCCTGCTTCTTGGCAGGAATTTTGCTTGTCTCAGCTTTCTTCTTGGTGTCCATCTTAACAGCATTACATATGTCAGGCTTAATAAAGACATCTGTTACTTCCTGAGGCATTGAGGAAATTTCCACCACATTCTCCACCATGCCCAGTTCAATGGAATCATCAGCTATGAAATCCTCCAGCAAAACTTCAGTTTTAAGGCCAATAATATCTGAATACTGAGGGCAAAAATCCTGAGCCATTGGATCGGCAACATCACCTTTCCCATTTCCTACATCTGCAGGATTGCATTCTTCTTCTTCCATCTGATTGGTCTTTGAGCCTATTGCACTCTGACAACTGACAACCACATCACAGTTACTCTTTTTTAAGTCCTCCAAAATGGCAGTAGAGCAACGCATATTAACTTCCTCTAATTCCGCTACACAAGAACTCACTTTTTCAGGAAAAGGAGTTTTGCAAAGATTAGACTCCTTGATAACTTTGAAAAGTGCTTCAAATGTTGGGGGCGGGGGTGAGTTTGATTTCACACAATGTCTAGCTTCATGGCTCACATTTAATTCATCATTGGAATCAGAAAAAAATTCTTCTCCTTCCGAGGCAACTAGGACATTTTTCCCAGGAGCAATCACAGGAGTTTCTTGGTGGTCCACAGGGGAAATGCATGTTTTTTTCAAGGCATTTTGGGTTTTCATCTTCACAGCACAATGACTCTTTAAGAGTGCAATATTCTTAATTTCCACACTTGGGCTTTCAGTCCTTGACCTACCGTAATTGTGCTCTGTTTGAATTGAATCAAAACTTAAGGGCTTTTCAGAATTTGTGAGGCTGTCCTGGGCATTCAGTGAATCAAATGAACTGTGAGGGTCTAACCTAGCTCTTTTCGGACCTTTGGCCCTGCTGGAAGAAAGTTCTCTTTTCCGGAGATTTACAGAAGTGTTGTCAGATTTGGGGGATATTCTTCTGCTGCTTTGCTCCATCGTGGAGGTTCTTACTCTTGAGTTCTTCGTTGAAGGAGGGTTCTTGATATTGGACTTCTTCAGCAAAGTACCTCGTGCCCTCCTTAACTTGGTGTTTGAATTCTGTGCCAGCCGACCCAAGGCAGTCACCTGTTGAGTTGACTTTGATTGCCCAGTCTGTTTTTGTTTCTGCACATTGCTCTGACGGGCCTTGGTAGAATTAGCAGCCTTCTGCCTCTTTGCTTTTTGGACTCCGGTATTCGACTTCTTCTGGGACGTCTCCTTCTGGACCATTTTCACTCTCGCTGAGTGACGGACAGCTTTTGAAGGCTTCTTTGTGTCTCTCTGCGGCACTGGAGGCTTTTTTTTCACTCTAGGAGCAACCAGGACTCTTTTTTGAGCAGCAGCCCCTTTCTGAAGCTTGTCTGATTTCACAGCAGCTAAAGGGTTCTTCTTCAGCGGTAACGACGCAGCCCTCGGTTCCACCATTCTCCTTCTACTTTGAGATTCAAGTGACACGGATCTTCTTTTAGCTGGCATCCTATCAAACGGTAGATCACATTAAACATTAACTTAATTCAGAAGAACAAAGTTTTTATACCAAACATATAAAAATAAAACATTTAAAATATTTAAAATTACTTGAAAAACAGACTTCAGAAGCCTCTGTTTCACTCATGTTTTTTTGCTTGTTCCAATTCAACAGTGGTACCTCAAATGCATTATGATCTCTTTAAAATATCTAACTTTACTATTTAGATCAACTGACATTCTGCAGTAGCATAAGTGAAGGAATATTTTGTGTTAGCCATTCATAGAGCATTTTTACTGGTAAAATTCAGGTTAGGTGGTTTGCTTAACAAAAGAGCACCTCTTCATGATTATGATCCATACTCCAGGCTACATGTCTGTGCTGTATAGTCACACTATCTGATTTCAATTCTGACAGTGGCTAATATGCCCCAGAAGATAATCTGAAAGCATTTTTACCATATTAAATCAGAATATCACCAGCAGTATTCGACAAGAAGCCTTATACAGGAACGAATAAATTATATCGCTTTAAGTTTAGCCATTATGTTTAAGAAAATGATTCTTTTGCCCATTTTTATGAGACTGTAGTACACAAAATCAAAATTTAAAATGTATCGGAGCTGAAATACCATCCTTGCATCTATGATTTATTAGCTGACTGTACAGTGGGGTCTCTACACGGTCCAAAGATGTGCCGGAACATTCAATTCCATCTGCATAACATCCAATAAATGAGAACTGGGTTCCAACTCTCCACAGCTAGGTAACAAATCAAGTGAGAATGTTACCAGTAGTGCTTAATGGGTTTGCTACGCCCACATAAAATTACTGTGGGGTCAAACCTCACCAACATGTCGTTAAAAGTGTTGTACTGCAGGAAAACTGCTCTTTATGCAAGAACAGATGCATGACTTGCTGTTGTTCAGAATGCACTTTAACTTCGTTCCATTGTCTTTAATTTATTAACATGCACGTCTCTCAATACAGAACATATAACACATTCCGTTCCATATTAACATTATACAGTCTTATGCAAAAGTTTTGGCACCCCTCAATAAATAACATATTTTGGTCATTTTTTAATTGAAAAGATGTAAACACAGTCTCTGTAGGAAATGGAAAAAAATGCACAATATTTTCACCAAATATTGATGCATAGTTACTTTTTATGTCATAAATTGAACAAAGATAAAAAAATAAAAACATTATTGTGGCACTCTGCAAAAGTCTGGGCACCCTAAGAGTTCCAAAGTCTGAGATTCTTTTTACAAGGTTTCAGACCTTAATCAGCTCGTTAGATCTGATGCATGGTGACAGCTGTCATTAGTAAATATCAGCTGGTGCCAATTTCAAAGCTTTACAAATACTCTGACTCTTCAAACCTTGTGCACACACTTGTGGACACTCAACAACCATGGGTTCTTCCAAGTAGCTGTGTAAGATTCTGAAAATGAAACAACAGGGCAATGACCCTAAACATACCTCGATATCCACCATGGATTACCTCAAGAGATGCGAGCTGATTTAAACATCATTGAAAATTTGTGGGTAGATCTTTAAAGAGCTGTGCATGCAAGACGACCAAAGAATATTACGGAACTAGAAGCCTTTTGCAAGGAAGAATGGGAGAAAATCCCAAGTACAAGAATTGAAAGACTTTTAGCTGGCTATAAAAAGCGTTTGCAAGCTGTGATATCTGCCAGAAGAGGTGTTACTAAGTACTGATTATGTAGGGTGCCCAAACTTTTGCAGAATGCCACAATAATGTTTTTATCTTTGATCTTTGTTCAATTTATGACATAAAAAGTAACTATGCATCAATGTTTGGTGAAAATATTGTGCATATTTTCCATTTCCTACAGAGACTGTGTTTACATCTTTTCCATTAAAAAATGACCAAAATATGTTATTAATCGAGGGGTGCCCAAACTTTTACATAAGACTGTATATTCAGTTTAATATTCACATTACAGGCAAAAACCTAGTACGGTAACACTTAATACACTTTGGGTGGTAAAGTATAGAGGGTGAAGCCTTTTAAAGCCTAGATTACATGCGGGAACAAATTGTACCCACTACACCGTTAAACTAGAGAAAAATCGGGTAATAAAACACGTAACATATGGTCTGACAGACAGCGAGCAACGTAAATAAACTGTCATGCAAGTGAGAATATCGACTGTGCTGTTGCAGCTATATATTTAACCTGAACGGAAAATGCGTACCCGTCTAGGCTCAGAGATATGCTATATATACGCTGCTCTGGATAAAGCAACTCGAATAAATAAAACGCATATATACATATTTAATTAATAAATTAAACAACGGCGGAGACAAAGGCAACACAAAATATAAAAAATAGTACACCCCACGTCTTATCCAACATAACGGAATAGCAAAAGTGAGTAAAACGAACCTTTTGAAAAGCTACACAGGCAGGACCGTTAATTTCAGCCTTCGGAGACCAGCGTACACCCGGCGGATGATCTAAATCTAACCGTATCTCCGGCTCTCGGCGGCTTTGGTCTCCACCTCGCAGCATCAGGCAGGTGCTCTGCCCGACTGACAACCCCGATCTATTTTAACCACGTCGCCCTAAAATCTCTTCAGTCGCGATCGGATCTTTTCTTCAGGTCGGTACCCTATTTCCTTCCTCCGATCCCGGCGGCGAGTGCTGAGCCACCACAGCTAGGCCCGGGTGCTGCTGCTAGAAAAGGACGCCCTGCCCCCGGTGCCAGCCCCGACGGCGCCCACTCCCCTCCGGCCAGCCGGCCGGCACTGGGATACACATTAAGTACAAAATGTACCGAAATATTAAACACCAGCGGGAGGAGGGCTGCCCTGGTCACTGTTATCCACAGCTGACCCCGGGACCGTCAAGCGGCTTCAGTGTAATATAAAGTTTAAATGTCCCGTGTGTGGAGACATCGTTCACCGGCCTCATCGTCCAGAAAGACCGTACGTAAAGTGATTTTCCTGCCAAAGCGCTCACATTCCCGCACCTGGTACACTAGCTAATACTAAGCCAACCCTTAAACCACATAAACCTGGACTGAACTTGGTTTTTGGGGGGGGGGAATAAAACAGAATAAATAAAAATTAAATCCGCGTCAAACTGAAATAAACGTTATTTAGGAAAAATAAACAGCGGTGGAGTTAAACTAGTTATCCCGGAGATCGGGCAGCACGAGAGATGAACGCAGGATTTAATCCAGAGATAAGTGAAAACCCGTCTAAAACGCAAGATTAACCGGTTCGGATCAGAAATAATAGGGGGCACTGCGAATTATGGTTAGTGAGAAACTCATATAGGGCGAAGAAATGGCAGTAACTTACCTGGTCGGCCTACAGAGTGCAATCCTAAATAACAGCTGTTTCTTTTTTCCCAGCGAACTCAAAGTTCGGCATTACTTCCGGTGCCAGCGAGCGGATGTCTGTGGGAGGGACATCCGGTACGACACAACTCCTATTGGGCGACCATTTTGATTAACAGCTACCCTTCCGTTTGGACTCAGCAGATAGTTCTGCTGCTTGAAATGCACACGAAAGTGACAGGGCGAATTATAGAAAAAGCTCTCCTATCCGGTGTTCAGGTAACCGGCACACTCAAGTAACTAGCACAATTCTGAAATTCACAGCAAACTAGCTAATTAATAAGAAACAACGAAGAATTCCGCAATACATATATCGGTTCCTGCGCGTGCCTCCCGCTTGTCCCGCTATTGTTTACGTCGCGATCTCTTCTGTTGCATCGAATATCCGTCTTTATCTGACATCACTTCATTGTTCTCTCAACATGGAGACGTCAAACAAAAGAAAGAGGGTAGTACTGAGTATCAAGGAGAAGATAGAAATATGTGATCGTCTGGAGAAGGGGGACAGCCGCACCACTATTATGAAGGAATATAATATTGGATCTTCTACTATCTATGATATCAAGAGTAAGGCCCAGAAGCTGAGAGATTTTATGAAAAAGTCTGAAAGTACTCTTGCTATAGAGTCACGACATACACTTCAACAGGCTCGCCTAAAACATTTAGATAAAGTCCTGTATGAGTGGTTTTGCAAACAGCGTTTGGAGGGCGCCCGCATCACTGGGCCTCTGCTGCAGGAGAAAGCCAAAGAGTTCACTGAGAAGATGAATTTAAAAAGCGACTGCAAGTTTTCTGATGGCTGGCTGGCGCGATTCAAAATTCGTCACGGCATACGACGGTTCGATTTGTCAGATCATCAAAAATCTGCCAATCGACCGTCAGCTGAAGAGTTTAAAGAGAAATTCGCTGAGCTTGTTGATGAACTGGTGTTAACCCCAGAGCAGATTTACAATGCCAGTGAAACTGGGCTGCTGTATCGATGTTTACCTGCAAGTACCTTAGCATGTAAAGGCAAAGTGGCAAAGCTGAATAAGGATCGCCTTACTGTTTTAATGTGTGCAAATATGGCTGGTACGCATAAGCTTAAGTTATGTGTTATAGGAAAAAATCAGACTCCACCTTGTTTCAAGAACCTTTCATTTATACCTGTTGACTATCGTGCACAGTCAAATGCCTTGCTGAGCAGTGAAATCTTTTTGGATTGGTTCCGGCATGCATTTGTGCCTGCTGTTAAAGAAAATTTACTCATTAAGGGCCTGCCTGAACATAGTAAAGTTGTCCTTCTGTTGGATAATTACAAATCTAACCCTCCCGCACAAGAACTTGTTGTGGATAATGTATACGTGCTGTTTGTACCCCGTAATGTGACGGGTCTTATCCAACCAATGGGTGAAGGTTTTATTCAGAATTTCAAAATGCATTATCGTCGTAACTTAATGCGCAAACTCTTGGTGTATGAGGGCTCAATTGCAGACTTTCAGGAGAACTTTAATGTGAAGGATGCAGCATTCATGGCATCTCTGGCATGGGATGATGTTCAGCAAGAGACACTACAGCGATGTTGGCATAACCTATATCGTGTAGCTGTGTTTCTCCCTAAAATGGAAGAGAATAAGTTTGATGGCATTGAGACACTTAATGGATGCTCACTCTCCAAAGAAATAATTGACCTGGTTGTTGGATCAGGGAAAGAAATTAAAGTGAGGAAGAAAGTAATTGATGAATGGCTACAAGTCGACAAAGATGTTCCTGTTACACTGACAATTAATGATGAAGATATTATTGAATTTGTGTTACAAAATCAAGACGTCAAGGAGGATTTGGAGAGTGATGGGGAGGAAGAACCAAAACGTAAGATTTCCTGGTCAGAAGCAGCTAAAGGCTTGAGCACATTCATTTCCTTTGCAGAGCAGTCAACCTGTATGACTGCTGATCAAGTTATGAGCCTTCACATAATCGCAAATGAGTTCCTGAATCAAAGATGCAAAGCACGGAAATGTGTGACGGCCAGTTCGCCTCCTGATCATTCAAAATCTCACTTATTCTAAATTAGGTGAGTTATATATGAGATGCCAATCCTGAAAGGGGTTTGGGCCAGGCATTATGTATTTGTTTTCAAGCTGGTTATCCTGCAGAGAAACATTGCTTGTCTTGTTTTTAAAATGGTGGACTATGTTCATAAATTAGCTGTAATAATATACTTGAAACCCCAGAGATGTGACCAAATGTGCTTTTGACCAAGTTTGTTTTGGTGAATTTGTAATTCATTGGTCATCATCTCCTACAGCGTTTGGTCTTTCAATGCCTTTACAGATTGAGACATTGAATAGTACTTTACCAAGTTCTGAAAAGGATAATGCTGTACTAAAATTCTTAGCTCAGTGGGACATCAGTACAGTGGTACCTCAGTTCTCGAACTCATTAGAACTCGAATTTCTTAATAGACGAACCAACCAGGGGGAAAAAAAAATTACCTAGAACTCGATCTGAACCTCAGAAGTCAAACCGTGAACACTGACCTAAGATAACTTGTACGCGCGGGGAAATGAGTCACGCGGCATGTCTCTCAGCTTCAGTCTCAGCCTCGCATTTGCTGTGATAGCATCGTGCACATTTACACTAGCTGAATACATATATTTGACAGTAAAAATACATTTAGACAATGATAGACAGTAACAGTAATTATTATTACTTAATAAAATACATTTAAAAATAAAGATTTCTTATTTTAATATTAATAATAAACCATTAATACATTTAATTATCATATTGTCCTGCCCAGTGGGGATGGAACGGAGACAAAGGCACAGACGTCAGGGTATCGGGGAATACGGGGTTTAATTACAGGTAAGGCGGGCAAAATGCAGACGGACAATACAATTACCGGACTGGGAAAACAAACTGAAACACGGACTAAATACAGAGGACTAAAGACAACAACCAGAAACAGCTGATCACATGGGGTTAACGAGGGGGCGTGGCACACGGAAGCAGTGGACGATCGGGGCAGGACACATTTTTTTAACTTTACACATTGTTTGGATAAATTTATTTTCTTGCTTTACTGTTTTGATAAATGTGCTTAGATGTGTTTAGTACAGTATATGCTCTTCTTGTTTTATTCGGTTCATTTTGTGTTTAAATGCAAAAAAAAAAAAAAAACATATAGGTGTAATTTTTTGCTGCCGGGACCCAATTAATTGGTTTTTCATTATTTCTTATGGGGAAAATTAAAACTCGAACTTTTTAGGATTCGATCCAGAATTCTGAACAGATTAAATTTGAGTTCTGAGGTAGGACCACTGTATTTTGTATGATATTTTTGGATGAAATTGATGCTGCTATATTTGTAATTTGATTTTATAACTATGTATAAATTTAAAGTTTGGCAAATTTTATACAATAAATGCATTTTTGTATGCATTTTAAATGAGGGAATATTTTTGTTTGCCAAAAGTCAGAAGCAAAAAAGCATTCCAAAAGCAAAAAAAAAAATCCAAAAGCAAAGAAAAACATTCCAGAAGCAAAACAAATTAGAGAAGAAGGGAAAAATATTTATTTTTGATATTTGGAAAACATATTTTCATTCTGATACTTAATGATTTGCTTGCGGTTTTCAAAATTTTGATTAATACTTTTGGCACAAAATTAACTCCATAGTCCTGTTGTTCTGACAAATATAAAACGAAGGAGAAAACATTATATGCGTCACTTTTTTATATCTTTTTAAAATAATAAGACCATGCCCATACCCAACTGTAATAACGATTAAAGAGATCTGTTCTTTTAGTATTTGTGTTAGAGAGGCTTTAATTTTATTACTGTTGTGGTATTAAGATTAATTTCACAAGATTAATCTATGGAAATCAATACTTAAATCAATGAGCACAAAAACATATGACATAAACACGACTGTATTATGGATTTTACGGCATTTCTAGGGGTCACAGACTCTGCTGCTGTGAGGATTACCGACCGTCTCATTGTTGTTTTGATGGGTTATATGCTAATGTGATTTCCCATTAACAAAAACAAAAGGTGTGATACGCTGAAGTATATCGTAGCTGGTGTTTAAAAGGAGGTCACCGGTTCTATTGACCTTTCTGAAACAATCTCGGACCATGAAATAGGAAGGCAATTCACTTACAGCTCAGTAGCGGAATCAGTATTTTTTCCACAACGCGAATGCAACATTTTCTTCGGGTTTCACGTGTTTGTTGTTTGTGGTCGTGTATTCAGTCGCCTCGGGCCACTTCTGATTGGTGAGCATGACTGTCACATAAGGAGCACGGCGCTTGTGATTGGTAAGAATGACTGTCACATAGGGAGCACGGTATGAGATTGGAAAACTATTCTTACAACAGTTTTAAACCCTGGGTCCGATGTGCTGTATAATGTCCTAAATCGCAGTGTAGAGATGAGTTCCTCCACGGTTCACAAAAAGGTAAATAAACACACTGTCCGGATCAAATGGGTTCGACAGCTGTAGTTTTAATGAAGGCAGGAAACTGACTGGGTTATGCAGTGGAAAGAGAAAGGAAAGATTATATAATTGCACAAGAAGCCGACCAAAAAAGAGCTGTATGCACGCCAGCAGAAATCCGGATCGATCCCTCGTTCTCCTCGCGCGCCGCGAGATGACGACACTGTAGCCCCGCCTCGGCGCTGGTCATTACATATCCCCCCTCCTTAAAACAGGGGCCGTCCCCGGGCCCCACAAAAATCAAGGGGGTGAAGGCAACTTACTAGGATAAGTCCACAAGGGGCAATGATGTAAAGAAAACAACAGGACACTGATCCACCGCAACCCAAAACTACCAGTATACATACAACTGAAGATTTCACCCAATTTTTTCCTTTTTTTTTTTCCCAAACAAAGCACATTTTCTAACATCCCCATACTTTCAGAACAAGGACCACATAAAATCTCAATTCAAAGATCTTGAAATCAAACAGAGATGTAGAATATTATTACCTGCGTTTACATAAAAGAATGTCAGAGACAAAAAAAAAAATCACAGGTATAGCATGTAGCACAGCCTGATACACACAACAAAACACAGGGAGTAAAAACATTATAAGCCCAAATCATAACAGACCTTTAGTTCACATATTTAACGTCTGAGTGAAATGGGGGTGAGACCAGTGTGGATGCCCAAATGGAGGTAATTCTTGGCATGCTCTTCGGCCTAAACGATTACCTTGGAGAGACGGGGTGGGGCAGGGAGGTAGCCAGCTCAGGTTCTGTTGTTCCTACCTTTCCACCAAGACCCACGGACTGCATCTGATCATTCAAGAGCACTACACTTCCATCGTTCCTCAGCCCCAAAGGTAAGTCAAAGCATAGGACTCCTTCTCATCAGTAGCAGAGCCTCCCAATTCACCAAGGTTGGGCTCAGTAACCTTCTGAAGAGAAATGTCTGTATCTTCTCCCCAAGTAACAAAGGGCATGAGGTTGGACACGTGGTGGACACCCACATCTGATCCATCACAAACCTTCGATAATCTGTAGTTCAAGTCCGACATTACCTTAACCACTCTGTAAGGGCCCTTGTACACAGGGGCCAATTTGGCAGTGAACCCAGAGGAGGCGTCAGAGCGTGGGTGAGTTTTCAACCGAACCAAGTCGCCGCAGCTGAATGTGACGTGCCTCCGCTTCTTGTCATAGTGAAATTTTTGTTTTTCATGACTCACAGCCAGTGATTGCCGGACCAGATTGTATGCCTCTTGTAGAGTCTCAGATAACTCAGACCTGTAAGCCTCCACGGTCTCCAGGCCAGGTTCCCGGTTGGGTCGCATCCATAGGTCCAGTGGCGTTTCCAGCTCCCTGCCATAAATTAGGGAGGCAGGTGACTCGCCAGTGCTCTGATGAGGGGCCGTTCTCAGCGCAAAGCTGATAAGAGGAAGGTGTCGGTCCCACTCCCTGTGCTTTAATCCCACATACGCTCTGATCGCTGTCTTAATTGTCCGGTTCACCCTTTCTGTTTGGTTCGATTGTGGGTGATAGGCTGTGGTCAGTCTGTGGGCAGTTCCAATTGTGGCCACCACTGCCTCAAACAAGTCACTAACGAACTGAACACCTCTGTCTGACACTAAGTATTTTGGTGCGCCATGCCTAGCAAAGACTTCTGACAGAAACTTGTCAGCGGCCACCCGAGCAGTTGCCTCCCGTACTGGGCATATTTCTACCCACTTAGTAAAATAGTCTACAAAAACTAAAATGAATTCGTTACCCCTATTAGACTTTGGCAGAGGTCCCACAAAGTCTACTCCCACAAACTCCCATGGAAAAGAAGCCACAACTGGTTGCATGAACCCCCCCGGCTTGCGATTCACAGGCTTACTGAACTGACAAACCGCGCATGAAAGTACATATCTTTTAACATCTCCTCTCATACCCGGCCAGTATACTCTCTTTTGCAGGCGGCCCATTGTCTTGGCGATGCCCAAGTGGCCAGCCATAGGGTGATCATGAAAGTATTCCAGCAGGGTTCCCCTGAGTGAGGTTGGTATATACAGGCGGAGATCCTTATAGGGGTGTATGCGGCAAGAGGATCTCTCGTCTTTGAAGTAGACAATGCCGTCATTAAGACAAAATCCAGAAGGGTCAATACAGGAATCACTCTCCAACTTCTCACGAAGCGAACTGATCGCCGAATCGTCATCCTGCAGGGCACGTAGTTGTTCTTTATCGGACAGAACCAACGGTGGTTGGCTCCGCAGGTTTAGCGACCCCACTGTAGCGTAGCTGGGAAGTACCTCAACTACCTCACTGGGAAAAACAGGGTTGCGTGACAGGGCATCAGGGATTAGATTTGCCGTGCCTGGCTTGTGGACAATTTCGAAATCAAAGTCTTGAAGCCAAAAGCACCATCGGGCCAGTCTCCCTGATGGGGTCGGCCCGAGACATCAGCCACCGCAGACTATTATGGTCTGTCATTACTGTCACATGAGTGCCCTCAATGTAGGGCCGAAAAAGTTCCAGGGCCCATATCACACCAAGACATTCTTTCTCTGATGTTGAATATGGGCGTTCTGACTTTGACAATGTGCAACTTGCATATGCTATGCAATATGCAAGTTGGCATAGGCCAACATCGCAAACATCGGTATGGATGGTAAATGGTTTTTCGAAGTTCGGGAGAACCAGCACTGGGGCTGTACACAGCTTTGACTTAAGGTCATCCAGCGCCCGTTGACAGTCTTCCGTCCAAGTAAATG